AATATTATAAATATATTTTAATGGTTTCAAAAGCTGCAAGGACACATTTTCACTTTAGATTCCTTTTTCTTCCAGCGGAGACACGGCCACCGCATTGGTTGACGGTGAAGTCACTCCAGGCAGTGGCGCCATCTTCCTTGATGACGTATCTTGCCGCGGAGACGAGCTTTCTTTGGATCAGTGCTACAGCCGCCCATGGACCGTTCACAACTGCCGCCACGAACAAGACGCCGGAGTGAGATGTATACCTTTCGAAGGTAGGAGTTTATCTATTTAAACAGCTTACAAGAGGCCAAGATCTACATATACAGGTAACGGACATACGCTGCGTTTATTGCCACAATGTATTTGAGCCCATGCAGTGCTGCTCTAGTCGAAAAGAGTTTGTTTAAGCAACGACCTTGAATCCATCACTGGGTATGGAGGTTGGGGTTTAGTATAGTAATATCCTTGCCGTTGTCGATGGTTTTGAGTACGGCCCCAAGGATGCCAAAGAGAAAAGGTTGGAATGGTTAATAAAAGGGAAAATAAAATAAAAAAGTGGAAAAAATAAATTCAGCTCCTGAGCGTCTATGGGCATACAATGTACCCATTCCTCTCTCGAATATCTCCCTGGAGTCACATTCGTAGTTATATATACTGGATATTACCGGCATATGCATGGGACTTTCGAACCTCTTCTGTATGAGTACCCTAGTTAATAATCAGCTGTTTTCTTACAGCATTCAAGTCACCGATAGCAAATGTTCTATTTATTAACCTGTTCTAACGAAAATGACATTTCAGTTCCATCATTGCTCACTGATCAGCAGTGGATTGCTATATTATTGCTTCATTAAACATTCACCAAAAAGGCAATTTATGATAACTTAGTTAATGATAGCACATAATCATCCATCTTTTGATATGATATATAGTATCTGATTTTTGCGCTCCCGATGTTAACTCCCGAATTCCAGGCGTTTCTTGACAGTCCTACCCTAGGATCTAGATTTCGGTTTTGCCAGCTCGATCTTGATTTCATATATAACCCATATCAGCAAAACTGTTGAAGCTATTCCATGAGAACGTTTGAATAGTTAGCAAGCTAGCTTCACAGCGGCCCTGACACTGAGGGCAGACAGTCCAGGCGTCTGTCAATTGCGCAAGAACCATCTCAATTAATTACATTGAAATCGCTGTGCACAATGTACGGGTGTATGTGTAAATGCAAATAAAGAGCAGACGAGTATAATTAACACACGTGGAATTCAACAAACAATTTCACTGCTTCATTGCCGTTTTTATATCCAAAATAAGATACCAACACATTTGACAAAATTTTCAAACCCCCTGTTCTATTGGGCATGCCTTGGTGATGAAGGAATATTTGGCCATTTAAAGGCATTATATGCACATGATGCCTATATACCTCGTAGCGTTTTATTAATACTTGTGCTTGCTGCCCGAGGTCAGGTTAAGTGCAGCCTCATACCTCCCATCGGCCCTTCTTAAAGCTTTTTTTACGATCTTGACGGCTGTATTTAACATTGTAGATGACCCTTGTGAAGCCCTTGGCTGCGGTGAGCACGAGGAGTGTGTCTTGGGAGATACTGGCGCCACCTGTGAGTGTGTCGAGGGATACCAGAGAAACGACGGCACTTGCGAAGGTGAGTTCCGTGGAGAGAGAGAGAATTCGTGTTTGTGTGTGAAAAAAATTAAGTCCGATCTAATTGGCGGTTCTGCCAGCAGTATCAACTTACCTTTATGAACAGAATTCATGCTGTTTATCGTACAATTAAAATTTTACACAATTTTGACAATTTTTTCAGACGTCGACGAATGTGCCAACAGCCCATGTGACTTCAATGCCGCCTGTGTGAACACAGTAGGAGGATTTAACTGTACTTGTAACGACGGCTATAGAGGAGATGGGCTCATCTGTGCACGTAAGTGTGACGTCAGAGCATCTTGACGTGACGTATATGATATGACGCAGTACGCAATTTTCACTGTTACTTCTGAATTGAATGGCTGTGTATTTTGTTGATTGGAGGAAATACATGTTTTGAAAGGGATACAAAAAATCTAATTTTGCTTTCTACTGAAGTTACCATGTAGATTAACTAGTATTACATGTACATTTACTGCAGCTGCGGCGCTTAGTATATTACCATTTGCATGTTTACCCTACACAAAGAAAACTAAAGAGACAACACTTATGAATATGCGTCACGATTAACAGACCTTATTTTCATTCCTTGCTCAACTAATCAATATGCTAGTACAAGTATGAATGATACGGTATTAATTACCCTACTTCAGCGCTCCCGTGCACCATTGATGTTTGTTACAACAGGCGATTGCAAGAGACCTGTGAAAACCTGGACAACGGCGCGCACCGATGCGTCGTGGAGTTGACGTGCGCCACTAAGTGGACGCAGTCGTGCAAGAAGGCACTGTCAAAGGCTGAGTGCAGGTAATACGATGATCTTAGATCGAGCGAAAGGGGGAGTGGAGCGAGCCACGGGCCACCGACCCCCATGACTTTTTGTTGCCTCCCCTCCCTTCCCCGTTCTCTCTAAAATATTATAAGACTAAATGAATAATGAATAAAAATAAATAAATAAATAAATAAATATTTTCAGAACTCCGATACATTTGTTTTCGACATGTATGACCACATTTGGAAATGTTTTTCTGAATAAGTAACTTAAATTTTGGGTCTTAAATTTGAAATCACCAATAGGAATGAAATCCTTTTGCGAAACGTACCTCAGTCCTTTGCACACAGTCAATATTAAAGGGATAATAACTCTTCGTATGAAATCTATATTTCACAATAAAAACATTGTGAATAACTCATAGAAATATAATATATTCTGTTTTATAATGAAAACAGCAGTTAAAGCTATTATTCTGATATCTGAGCTTGTCTTCAGATCACTTGACCTCCATTGATGGCTATACTCTGTTATAATCACTTAAGAGATTTTAACAAAAAACCAAACTTTTTAGAAAAAAAACAGGGACTAACTTTGGATGTAAAAATGGATTCATTAACCATTGGTAAGTATAGGAAAATTGTTGTTTACTCCAGGAAAATTCATTTTTTGGCCAAAACGAAGAGTTATTATCCCTTTAAGGCGACGTTGAAATACTTAACGAAGGCATTTGACTTAACTTCATGTACTGCCCTTTCAGCGTTCGTTGCCCGGCTGGATGTTCCTCTTCCAACGGGAAAGTTTTCACTGATGGCCAAAACTATGCAGCAGTAAGTGACACACAACACGCGTAGGGTCTTCATACTGTATGCAGCAATGATTTCATTTTTTATACGGAATTTTGGCTTGTTTCTTCTAAGGCAAACTGCTAAGCTTAAATGATCTCCATTGGTCAAAATAGGTTTTTATGACACGCTGTCCTCAGCTGATATTCGGAATAAGAATACATCTGTTTTTTTGATATGGAAACTCTGTTTTTCCCCTATTCACCGGTTGACTGATTAGAAAAAAATAAGGCTTGATATTGTCGTTTTTATCATTTTTGAAATTTCCTTTATATTAATTAATTTCTTTTTGCAGCCTTCTTCCGTGTGTCTGTCGGCTATCCATTCAGGCGTTGACCCTGCGGCTGAAGGTGGCTTGTTTACCATTCGCCATACCCGGGTAGAAGACGCCCACGAATACCCCTCCACTACCAGTAATGGAATCAAGAGCAAGCTGTAAGAAAGCCCCTTGTCTACAATTAATTTCTCTGAATACAGGCATTTAAATTAAAAAAAATTAGCTACATGTTTTTTTTAAATCTTACTTACACTTGCTACATTTCAAGACTGCGCTATGTGTCTGCTTGCTTATCATTGCATTTATCTTTGTGTTGAGTTGCACTGCTTATCATTACAAATATAAAAACATGCTGGTAATGTTTCTGAAAGTGCATTTAGCGCTCAAATATCAACTTGTGCACGACTGTCAGTTATCATCATATTCGTCTTCAAAAGTAAAATCTGGTTTCCTTTTTATCTAATGTCAAAACATTTTAAAATTTTTTTTTAAAATTAATACACTGTCTCTTTTCAGTAAACGTACCTACAGAGGAGATGCTTTCGTCGTCGCCTAAATCGCCCGAGGTACAGACGTAACGGACACGGCACCAAATGTTTTACGATTAAGTACAAAAGGACTTGCGCAAGGACACTTAAACATTTCCGTGGGTTGGACTTACATTTATGATCTGCATTGGGTCCTTCGTGGTTTCTACCAGATATGTAGTCACTGGCTTTGTAAGTAAATGTTTCCACTGGCGCCTAAGGACTATAATGGTTCTGGTATAGTAGACAACTTTACAACGGTTCTTAGAGTCTTCAGCATTGATAACATTTGCTAATTTCATTAATATTTAATACTTTCTAACATGGAAGATATGTGAAATGACTATAATATAGCGGCACTTGCTGTGACGCATGGAAGCAATCCACATTTAACAGGAATCCTTTAATTCGGTTGTTATTATATATTATCAATTATTGTATTATTATATATTCTAAATGGTGTTTACAACTTATGAGGTGGTGTGTAATTTAACGTCATTTCCGTGTAACAGGGGGGTTGAATTCATTGAACTGTCTTTAAATGTTGAGGTTATTGTATTTCACTTTTTGTCAGTTTATGAAATGTTACTTCGGCTTTAATAAACTTTGCTTGAGCAAGAATGAGAGTTTTGCGTTGGCATTTGCATAACAAAGCGGGATACGGGGGAGAGGGGTGAACCAATAACACCTATAATGAAAATAAAGCGCGTTTATAATGTGGAGAATATTAAAAAAAGAATGTACGAGAGAGAGAGAGAGAGATGTGGCTGGAAATGGCAAATTGCAACATCCATATATCTTAAAAAAAGATCAACACATCTTTTCTTTGCAACCCATATATTTCTTTTCTCAGCACTCGTGTTTCTAAACATATACACATAAACATATATGTGTAAATAACCATATAGCCCAGAATAACCTAAATACAAGATGAACGTGCAGCCACACATATAAACTAAAAGTAAATTCACTTCGAAATGTTTACAGCTGAATCCTAAGGATCCCATTCCAATGCTTTGTATTCTCGATATCCTAACTTCGCTTGATTATCACAGATATATAGATAACTACGTAGTAAAGTATGTCAACCCTTCACCGCTGCTTGGGAAATCACACAATTTATTTAGAAATGGAAAGCGTGGGGACTACGATTTGACCTCTCGAGTAGCAGCACGACCTTCCAGCACGATGCTTTAAGGGATAATAACTGTTCATTTTGGCAAAAAAAAAAAAAAAAAAAAATAATAATAATAATAATAAATAAAAAAAAAATCCTGAGGTATTCGACAACATTCCCGTACTTACCAATAGTTGATAAATTCATTCCGACATTCGAAGTTAGTCCCTGATGTTTTTGCTAAAACTTTATATTTGTAATAATCTTTTAAAGAGGGTGGCCATCTATGGAGGTTAAGTGGTCCGATGGCAAGCACAGATCGCAGAATAATTGCAATAACCGCCATTTTGCTGGTAAAATAGAATTTATTATTATATTCTGTAAGTTGTACTTATTGTGAAATATGAATCTCATACGAAGAGTTGTTATCCCTTTCACATCTGAGATTGAATAATATAAGTGGCCATAGCTGTTGGTGTTGCATGTGGAGATTCCCTCAACCTTTTTATTAAATACGGCCAGCGCTTGCATGCTGTTAAATCATTGCATTGTCACAGAGAAAAATAAGTGGAACAATAACGGTTTCTTATCACAGTGAAATAAAACGCAAACGGTTGCGATTTAGGATTCAAGTTGGACTTCTTGTCTGGAAACAATGAGTGCCATAAAAACAATTCGGTTCATAAATCATTGTCCTTGACTTGCGTGTGTCTTAAATCGGTAACCTTCACCTTAAATTACAAACGATCAGTTTTCCCGAAGAACGCATGCGCAGGACCACAGTGTTGCTCTGTCAATAACTGCTGCCATCGAAAATCCCCTATGTTTGCACGGCCACATCAAGAAAACTGAAAATTTGTTGAAATTAAAGGTAGTTAAACGCATCTACTTGTCCTCCTCCAAGCGGTTCACTTAGGTTTTAAAATAAATGAAAGCACTTCAGCTTTTTCTTCCACTTTTTCTTTGCTTTGGAGCCGTGTTCGGTGCACTGATCGGAAAGACTCTTCAAGACGGTGCAGGCCCCTAGGTTTGCCGTCGATTTCCCGTGCCCTATCCCCGAACAGTAAGCGTATTCACAGGCACCGATATAACCGCCATAGTTGATGCCATCTTCCTCCAGAACAGGGCGACAGCTCTTAAAACTTTTCTTCAGAGGTTTTCTGTTATCGAGATCGCACATCTTCTGAGCTTGTTGGAGCTGGTCGTCAGTACACGTGTTTGCAGTGTAAGGACTGTTGGCTAAAGTCTCTTCGCATCTACGCAAAACACAAAAAGATAAACGATATAAAAAGAGACTAATATAACGGAAACCGGAAGTGTGAAAGGAAGTATATCATGTAATATATAAAATCACTGTAATGTCGTCATGTTGCTAATGACAAGTCCCAAAGTAACATGTCACCTCTTTTAATATGGTATTGGGCTTGTCCTGGGTGTATATATCAATGTGTATCGATGGCAAGTTATTTATGATAAAAACAGTGTACTAGAAACCACTTTGAATGTGGATGTATGTTGGATGAATTAAAGCAATATTAACCAGATGATACTTACGGAGGCAGCTAATGTGTAATAAAATAAAACTAAATAAATTGAAATGAAATAAACGAAATAAAATGAAATGAAATAAAATAAAATGAAATAAATAAAATAAAATAAAGAGGAAAGGATATAACTAAAAGAGATTTATAGAAATAATATATAATATATGAAAAATAATGTGATAGAAAAAATATTTTATTAATAGTCCTGGTAAGAAATCCGGATTAAACTGGCTTTTTCCAATCACTCCTTTCACTTCAAGATAACTGCTTATCGTAAAAAAAAATAATTTGAAGCTACAGGTATACTCCCTGGATTTGAAAAGAGAAGTTTAAAACGTCGCCATACATACAATAAACACTGGTACTATATTACATTAGGGTGTGACGGTAATCGAATCTTATCATTGTTTTATTTACTTGTCATCCGTATTCGTACTTCATTATTTTCGAAACCTCGGAAAGGACACGTTTATTACTGCCACTTACTCTTGCAGGTCCAGCTCGGGGTCATGCTGGTGAAGACTATCGGCTATAAGAGCGTCCCTGATGGGTTGACTCAGGTTCTCGACTATCGTGCCGTCCTTGGTGGCGTAGTCGTCGTGGGGGTTGTCATTCCAGTTCCCACAGAGGCCGCACAGTCCCGCGTTTTTATACCAAGGTGGGATGTCGGCGATGACGTCACCCCGCTCGTTGCGTGTGATGTCCAAGGTGACTTTAAAGCCCAAGTCAGTCATGAATACCAAGCGTTCCATGCCCCCCTCAGAGTGTTTGTTAACTATGATGCGCTTAGACTCGTAAGGGAGGTCGCCATCATGGATAACTTGCCCATCGACCTGAAGGTTAGAAACAGCGTCATAGGCTCTCTCTCTCTCTCTCATCATTTTTAGCTTGAATAATCTGTTTTTGTGTGTGGGGGAGGGGGGGGGGGG